ATTATTATTATTATTATTATAAGATTAAAATATTATATAGTAATATTGTAATCTTTAAAGAAAAAGCGAAATTTTTTTTATATTATTTTGATTTAATTTATTTATAAATTATTAATATTATATAATTAATTATATATTAATAGCAATTATAATTTAAATGAATAAATCAAGTATATATGTTGCTTAATTATAGAAGAAAACGTATTCCAATTAAGGGTGACAATTGTTGTTATTGTTACTTAACTGGAGTGAAATATTTATCAAAATTATCCACTGATGATATTCTATTTGCGTCATTTAAAAACAATTTGTGTGAGGTTGGTATTTAAATGATTTACATGTTTATATGCATGGTTCATATATTCAATAGAAACGAAATTTGTATTAAATACTTTCAGATACCATTTTTTGTAATAGCAGATGAGAAAACGAATAAAATTGTTATAATTTTACGAGGCTCTCTCTCGTTGCGTGACGTGATAACCGATATTACTGCAGATTCTGTTATTTTCGAATGTGAAGGTGTTCCACCAGGTGCTCAGGTAAATATCAAGGTTTAAACATAAGATTTTTTTGATATTATTTAGCAAATTTGTACGCTGTATTTGTTAAATTATTCATAAAAATGTAATAATCAAGATAATAATTATATATAATTACATAGGCACATAGAGGCATGATACAAGGAGCTAAACTGATATTGAGGGAGTTAGATAATCACAAAGTTCTAGAACGAGCATTCAATATGTATCCTCATTATGATTTATTGATTACAGGTAAATAAAAATGTTAAATAAATCTTGGAATTCAGTGTCATATACTTATATATAAAATATTTCATATTTCATTTTTCATATTTTTTTAAATATTTTTATTAATTTTTATTTTTAAGATATTCGTTATAATATTATATTGTATGATGATGAATTGTTTGATGATGACTGAAGATAATTGAAAATAATAATGAAAATATTTATGTATAGTATAAAAAATGATTAATTATATTTTATTATATTATTTTTTTTTTTATTCTTTTCATATTGTATATTTTCTGTTTCGAGAAGTAACAAATATATAGAATATTTATTCAAATATTTTAGTTTTTGCTTAATGAATAAAAAAAAATATAAACAAGACAAACAAGAAATACATGCAAATAATATATTAAAAATGCTAATGAAATTTAAAATTTTTTTGAAGTTTAATGTTAAAATTTTTAATTTTTTACTTAAATAAAAAATAAAATAATAATATAAAAAATAATAATAAAATAATAATAATAAGAAAAATAATAATAAGAAAAATAATAATAAGAAAATTGCATTATATAGCAAAATTATATAGCATTAAACTATGTATGCATCTAAAAATAAAAATATATATGTATATAGAAAAGTATATGTATGTATATTAAATGTTTTATTTTTAAAAAATTTAATATTTAATACTTCAAATTTCTTCTATTATTATTTTTGAAAACGTATATGTATTTAATGTTATAATTATTATTTATATTTTATTTATATATTTCAATTTATTTAAATTATGATTTATGTATTTTAAGATATGTATATCTTTATTATGTTAAAAAAATATAATTTAAAAATATTATTATTAAAAAAATTTTATATTAAATAGTGAAAATTTTATATTTAAAAAAATTATATATATATATAAAATTTGACGAATTTATATTTATGTTTTACTGTCACTGAAGTTTTATGCTTCTTTTCTATAATTTCTTATAAAAATGTTTTATTTTTAGGTCACAGTTTAGGTGCCGGTGTAGCTACACTGTTAGGATTTTTATTACGTCAACGATATCCATCTTTGAAAGTTTATGCATTTGCTACGCCAGGTACATATTTTTTAAATATGAAGTTTGTGAGTTTTGTGAAGTTTTATTTACATAATTTATGTTGTAATTTTTTTGTTATGATGCATTAATTAAAAAATAAATGTCCTATTTAGCGGGCCTGGTTTCGAGAGAACTTGCCAGAATATCGGAAGAATTCATTTTTACAATAGGAATTGGAGATGATTTCGTGATGAGATTGAGCGTTGATAGCATAGAAAATTTACGAACACGTTTACTTATGGTACTTCGTGCTTGTCATTTGCCAAAGGTATGATCATCATCATATCATTAAAATATTTCAATTATCAGAGCAATTAAATTTTGTATAGAGAATATCATATTTTAATTTCATAAAACATAGATTTTTAGAAAACATACAAGTATTAATTTACATATAAAAAAACAATTAATGAAATATTGAAATTTATTTAATTGACATTTATTTATTTAAATTTATTTCAAATTTTTCTTATATTTTTCATATTTTCTGAGATATTTGATAAGATTAAAATCTAATATATATATATTACTATAAAATAATTGCTTTGATTAACTGATTAATTGATTTAATTAAATGATTTTATAATATAATAATTAATGAAATCTTTGTACTTGAATATTCAAATATTTTCTTGATATTAAATATATTAAATACGATATCATTTAAATTTCAATTTTTTAAAATAGAAAACTAAATTGTTATAAAATCTTTCATAATTTATCCAAATTCAAATATGCTTATTTATGTTTATTTATATTTACAAAAATATTCAAAATTCTATAGATATAAAATATTTGAATGTAAATGAAGTTTAGAAATGATATCAATAATTTAATTTATTATAATTTTATAATATTTTAAATTCTATTTTATTTCTAATTTTATATTTCAAATTATCACAATAAATATATACTGCATATGAATTTTTCAGTATAGAATAGTATTAAATGGACTAGGTTATGTTTTATTTGGTATTCCTGAAAAAGATCTTGAAAAAATGTGGAAGCCCAATAGTATAAAAACTATATCAGGAAAATCGCCTTTACTCAACGATCGAAATATAAATAGACTAGAGGTATATATATATATTTTTTATTAATTTTTTTTTAATAAAAAATAGTTTTTAAAAATTAAAACATAAGATATGAAAAAAGTTGAGCAAAACGGAATACTAAAAATTAGATATTTGATTGTTTTAATAAGTAAATATAATTTAATATTTTTATTTTTAATTATGTTGAAAATTTTAATTTTTGAATTTTATGCGGTTTTCATAAATTTTCTCCTGTTTATAAAATTTATATATATAATAATAAAAAAATTATATTACAGGAAAATAGAATATATGAACCTGATTTTACGAAAAGGAGGTTTTCTCAAGTGAAATTATATACGAGCGGTAAAATACTCCATATAACTGAACGCAATATTGATAAATCAGACATCAAAAAGTATATAAAATTTATTTTATATATAAAATTATGCGAAATTGAGCAATATTTTGAAAATTTAATGATAAATTATATGTAGTATTTTTTTTTGTAGGAAAAATTAAAAATAAAAGAAAAGACATTCGAAATGCGGTGGGCACAACCAGAAGAATTTACAGAATTGATTGTAATGCCGCGAATGTTATTGGATCATTTACCAGAAAATTTAGGAAAAGTTCTTAATAGATTGGCAGAACAACAAAAAAATCTATCACAAAATATTGATCTTTGATCTTTATGACAAAATATGTATACAATGAAAAGCAAATCATACTATTGTATATTATATTTTTGAAACCATACAAATTTTTATTAATGATTTTTTTGTTTTTTGTTTTTGTTTTTTTTTTTAAGGAAAAGATATATATATTTTTATTTTGTAATATTGTTTTGAATTCTACTATCAAGTAAGAATATTATCACTTGTACAAATCTCAGGGTAATGTTAATAATATTTTATATAATAATAATATATTATAATAATAATATAAAAATGAAAATTAGAAATAATAAAAATAATTAAAAAAATAAATAAATAAATAGATATAAGTTTCACGAAGATACTTTTTCTATTATCATTTCTATTACTTTTCATAGAAGTTTGTTTTTATGTATTGACATTAATTCTATGTCCAACTAAATTTTTTTTCTTTTTTTTTTTTTTAAGAACTATTATTCTATTTTCAT